TCATTTTATAATTATCATTAATGTTAAAGAAGATGGCACGCTGTGGAAATGATGTGATCAAAAAAATAAAAAAAAAGATAAAAAAATAATGTGGGATATTGCGGAAACTAACATGAGTTGATGGTACATTGAAAGCAAGTTGAACGTGATAATTACATATAATTTTATATTAGGTACCTACTTTCATAAATGAGCGAAGGTCGACGATTAAACAATTTGGTAACTAAATTTCAAGGTAATGCTTCTTTATTTTTACGTTACACAAGAAGGTTAAATTATACAAAATTTACTACATTTCATATTAGTTACGAGTACTATGCTAATTGTAAAAAAATTGTATAATATTATGCATATTATGATTATTTGTAGTATTAGTATTTTTGGAGATTCTACTCTTCGTGGCATGTAGGTTCGATTACCGTATAAGGTGTTATATTAAAAATGTTAGGTTATTCATATATAAATAATATTAGACATATAAAAATAATATACATATAACTAATTAGTAATTATAATAAAATAATTAATCTGTATATAAAAAAATAAATTGCCGTTCGTTTGTCTCGTTAAAACTCAAAAATGGCTGGACCGATTTCAATAATTCTTTTTTGTTTTGTTGTGGGTGTGTCAGGGGTGGTTTAAGTTTATAAAAAAATAGGGAAAATCCCAAAGAAACTGCTGTGAAATCGATAAGTTTAGAACTGTATTTTATACCTATGTATATATAATATATGTATAGTCTATCTATTCCATACTAACCGTTAACGTACAACGTACCTGTGGATGATTTCGAGCGATACGAAGGTGAGTCGGTAGTATTACATATAATTCTTTATTTTAACATTAATTCATAATTAAATGACCAAATGATAAAAAGAGGTTTGCATAAAATGAAGAAAAAGAAAGGAATTAGTTTCCTAATTTAATAAATAATTGGAGACCATTTTGACAGTTAACAAGATTTGGAACATTACGTTTTAATTCAAATACGATGAACAGGCAAAAGGAAGTCGCTCCACGGCGCGCAGCTGCTCAGTCGACTGCACCGTCACAGGCACGGGCCAGGTGTAGTGTACAATCGAACTCAGTAACGATATAAAATGATTATAAATTTTAGTAAATTGACATTTACAGAAATGTGTTAGGTTCACCTCATTAAAAGATAAAAATTTAATTTTATAAATATGTTCAGGAAATGAAAATTTAATAAATTACTGAAAAATATGACCTAAAGATTTACAATCTTGTTTATTAAAATAACTGAAGGACTTTTAGATTGTTATATTTATTGGTAAATTATAATATAACTCCAAAACTTTTCAATATCAATATAGTCAGATTTTAAGATATATGGGCAAGCGAAGACGAGAAGAAAATAAACGGTTGTTTTTTTTTAATAAACGATTACGGTACTACTCGTAGAAGTTACAATTAGACACTTTAAATTTATGCTTTTGCGTTTGCATTTAAATAAAAACCACCCATCATACTACTGTTCTACTATTAAAAAATAAAACTATTCATACATTGCTCTGTAGTATTTTTCATATTATTAGGTATTATTATTTTATAGGACGTTATACTTCTTCCCCGCAATGACCACATAATACTTGTCCTAGTGTAATTAATAATTATAATTATTTATAGTTTTTTACCCGATTGCGATGAAGCCCAAAGGAGGGTTATGTGTTTGACCTGTATGTATGTAGGCATGTCCGACCCATTATTCAATTATAGTTACTAAAGAGCTTAACCGATTTTGATGATTCATACGTCGTCAAATTTGTATCATACGATATATTATGTACTGTAAATGTTTCTTCTATACATTTTGTTTCTAAGCTGCATGGCTCAGCTTTTGTTTATGTATGTACATGTATATTAAGACCTACAATATTATTATTCATAGGTTAATGCTCAATCTATTATCTATATTCTAGGTTATATAGTCGTAGGCGTACTTGAAATACAATATCAGTTATAGTGATATCTTATCACATCACACTTATCTATGGAGATCGATTGCCATTGTCCAACATCGTAGTTGTAATGTTTTTAGTACAGTAATACCCCGGACTTACGCGATAGGCGGGAGCGAGCGATAGCCGTGTAAGTCGAATTCGCGTAAGTCGGGTTCAACTTTGCATATAAATACATATTAAGTATGTTTAATCGGGACCAGAGTCTAAAGAAAACATTAATTTAGAAGAAACATGTTTGATAAAATGTTAGACAATAGAAGAATTTTCATTGTTATGAATAAAACGACGTAAACCGAAGATATTTTGATGTCGTTAAGTTTGTCATTAAGTCGGAGTTAAATTTTGACGTCCGTTGACTTTTTTGTTGATTTTGATACTTGATTCCAGTCATAGGTCAAATTTCTTTATCAATTCACAAATTTTTATTTTTGCTTTAAAGTCTTTAATAAAATTAATGCTCCAAAGAAAGTGGTTTTCTTTTCTTGTTAGGTTCAAATCACAAATGACTCATTTTTTGTTCTTTTGGATGACATAATTAGATGTTATCAATAAAACGCACAGCGTACGTAAAACAATTCCACGCGGAACACGTTCGAATCTGTCGTAAACGGAACACTAACATGGCAAAGTGGGAGAGCTGATGCACGCGGCAATCAAAAAGAGAAACCGCGTATCTCCGAATTTGCGTAAAACGGGGTAGCGTAAGTCGGGGTATTACTGTATATTTATAGACTTTTTTCAAAAGAAGACTCAATAATTCCTTGTTTCTTATTAACCGTTGTAATTAAAATTAAATATGATATATTTAATGCGGTATATATTATATATACCATCTATTTCATTTTTAAAACTGGTTAGATTCTCTTAGACATACAGATTTGCTTATGATGTTTTTCTTCGCCGTATAAGCAAGTACTATTGCAAGAGCAAGAGATTGACACATGAATATCCCAAAGATGCGAGACAGGGTTTTAAGTCCGCTTTACTCTGTTTCCAACGCGAGAGGATCGCAATGATCATGCATTAATATATAAAGTAAAAATTCGCAATATAAAAGATCAAAAGACTGAACGTCTAACTGCAATTTTGATGAATTTTCACTTTAGTTACGGTCAACGAAATCGATTAGTTGATTCTATTCGACTTAGAATTATTATTATTTCAATGTTTTCTGCAAGTAATTTTGGCTACAATAAACAAGAATAGAAAAATATCTGTTGATAATCTCTACTCATGCGTTACGTGATATGAATGTCAAAGTAGTTATTTATCAAGTTTTTACCGAGTTGTTGAGAAAACAATGATGCATCACCATTTATGTAGCAACATACTATGGTAGTATGCTCATGTAGGGCTAATCTTCGCATCCCAGGGCGCGGAATGAATCTATTTTTACTCTATAGCCTAGTCGGTGCACGGGCTCGAGTCAACGACCACGCGATGCAACGCCACAGTTAATTTTTTAAAAGTCATTGCCCTTGTAACGTACATCACGACTGACGAACATTTATGTCTAGTTAATGTGTCAGTAATGAATGAATCGTGCTAAATGTTTCGTCTAATGTTAATAAAACCCGGAAAACTTTACTCATTCGCTAACCGTCGCTAATCCTAATATGAAAAGACCTACTTTACAAAGAGAAAGTGAACCCAGAGGAATACATATAGTCATAAGTATTCTATTATGATACACTTGCGTTCGTTGATGTCTAACGTAGGATGACGTATTTGTATTTACTTACAAATAAGAAAATAAATAAAAGCATGTATTGCGTAGATTTAATGATGTGGTAAACTATTTTCTGTTATGTAAAAAAATGCATTTTAATAACTACATGCTTCGATAAATTATTATTTCATTTTACAGTATTAGTCCATAGATTGCGTTATTTTATTATTTGACTTTTTAACCAAGTAAAATATAAAGGTAAAACGTTACTGAATGATTGCATTGATTTACATATATCGTGTTCTAATTTGTCTACTACAATATAGATATGGAATGGCTTTTATAAATGCCACAGGAGTAATGAGTTACCGGTTACGGTAACGAAAACGATATAGTGAACAAAGCGCGGACGTTATACGATTTTCGGCCATCCGTTTATACTTTGCTTATAAGGCTTCATCGAAATAATTGTGTACGACTACACAATGTAGAGCGGCGTCTCGCTCGCTCATTGTGCCGGTCACTCACGCACGCGCATCCGACGTCATCGCAGAAACCAGCCAACCAATTGACCGGTATATAGTCAACCTTCAGTTTTTCTTTTATTTATAACTCGCTTTGCCTCGGTAAGTCATGCTTCGTTTAGTTCGTTCGAGTAACTGGCCTATCTAGGACTAACGACGATGAACGAGCTATAATGACACTTTTTGTAAAAAACAAACTAATTATTAAATAGTAGTAGCTAATTTAGTTATCTTTGTCATTTATGAAAATTTATAAACCTTTTTTTTTGTTAATATTTTATAAAAGTTTTGCCATATTATCATCACAACAGAAAAATGAAAAGTATGATTTTGTTGGTTTTGCAATTATTTTTTCGCGATAAAATTATTTCAAATATATGCACATTTTTTTGAAATATGTCAATACTTAAGCTAAGACTGAGCTTATGGTAAAACATATGCTGACAATAAAAATAAAAATAACCTTAATTTCAACTTAAGTTCTCTATGACAATCAAATTCAACTGTAAGGATAATAAAAAAAATATAAGGAATGCATTTTTTATTTTATTACTTTCAGGGAAACAAACAATATTACGGAACATATAATTAACAATAAAAAAAATTGTATACAAATATTTTGGGAAAGTCTCCGTATTGGTTTAGTCAAGTAACTAAAACCTCAAGTGAATGTAAAGGCAGCATTATGCGGTTTAATGAACGGATTGTGACGGTGGCGGCGCGCGGAGCGAACGCAGTGCGCAGTCGGCCTCGAGCTCTAGGCGGCGCGCGCGCAATATACCGTCGCACCGGTGAAAGGACGCATGACTCATACTTGCACCAGACATGAACGAGTACGTCGAGTACGACTGGAGGCTGCGCCAGATGCAAAATGAACGCCTTTGTGACGTATCTAGGAAAAAACTGACTGATGGTGATAGACAACGTGCTTTAGCTGGCCTCAAAGACGCCGTCGATTCAAGTCTCAACTTAGCCCTACGCGACAAAAGTCGATGTCAAGACGACAATTTTTTACGGCGGTTTTTATACGCGCGCAAACATGATGTACAGCAAAGTTTCGAGCTATTAATTCGATATCATCAACATCGTCGGGAGCACTCTGAGCTATGGGCGCCCGCGGATGGCGGGGTGTTGCGAGCTCTCGCCGATGGCCTCCCCGGCGTGTTAGCGCAGCGGGACCGGCTCGGCCGGTGTGTGCTACTCATGTTTGCCTCTAATTGGACTCCCCATGCATGCCCGCTTTTGTCTGTATTCAGAGCTTTACTTCTCACATTGGAACGGACTCTCATCGAAACACAGAATCAAGCCAATGGATATGTTATCATTGTTGATTGGACGGAGTTTACATTTAAACAATCGTGTAGTTTACAAGCAAAAATTTTGAAAATGATGATCGACTGCTTGCAGGATTGTATGCCAGTGAGATTTAAAAGTATACATTTTATAGGACAGCCGTGGTATGTAGAAACCGCTCTTGCAGTAATTAAACCGTATTTAAAAGCGAAGACTCGAGAAAGGATAGTTTTACATGGAAATAATCTATCTACTTTGCATGACTCATTACCCTTAGATATTTTACCTGCAGAATTAGGGGGAGAAGGGCCTTCTTACAATTCAGAGCGCTGGTTACAAGAATTCTGTCGATGTGAAAATATAGATCCAAAGCCTATACCTGTAGTAACGACAGCCACGCCTGTTGATAACGATCTCCCCGCCGCCAAACTTGATAAGGCTTACAAGCAAAAGGATAGTGCGAACTTTTCATTTCACGGAAACGAAAAAGGTGCTAAGTCTGAGTTACTTAGAGATAAAGATTGAATGAATAGTGTTGTGTGATCCAATATGGACGCATTGGACAGCTACGTCTGGCCGCCATCAGGGCGTGTCGGTTCATTCCATGCTACGTGCATGCATTTTGTGATATCATGTGAATTATTTATTATTTTTAGGATGCATTACAATATAATGAAACTTTTATTCAAAAGTATTAAATAATGGCAACATCATAATCCTTAAAGTTTAAAAGATCAAACAAAATATGTATTACATTGTTTTAAAGTTTAAACCAATCACTACACAATATACGAGTAAACCTCGGATTGTCCTTTCAATTATGAGTCACTTGATTTCGTAAATGGTGGGAACCAGACCGGCTCATCCCCTACACACAAATTGCCGACTGTTGCTCTGCTAATGTAACGGTTAAAATTTTGATACTTGCGAACGTTTTAAATGATTTCCAAACCGTTTTTGCCATACCATGTAGAAAACGAATCGGATGAACATTAAAAAATTAGTTCGTTTTATTTCTTGTTGTATTTTTTATAATATGAAATATGTACATGTTATCCAATGCTTATAAATTAAAAAAAAATACCTTAGATAAATATATGCTTTCATAACTTCTGCGAGGCTTGTTGCGCATTTACTATTATTTAAGATTTCATGTGAATTGTGAATAGAAATGTGTACATGTAAAATATAATTAATTGTATTTTGTATTAAGACAGCCATGGTGCATGTTTGAAAGGAGCAGTATTATTATAAAAAATCTTTTTATATCGACATTTTTATGTAAAACGTCGTGTAATTTACTTTATAAATGACTTTTATGTACAGCTCTCATATCGCCTTTAAACTGGTATGCTCTCTTTTAGACAGTAAACTTTAGTACTGACTGCAGATCTAACCTGCACGTTCCAAGAGATAATAAATTCCTTATAATTATTATGGAATAGTGACTGTAATGTAAAACGGACACTTGAAATAATAATTAACTTGCTAATGATCTGATATCCATTTAAATAAACAATTATTGGACATAAGATACTTCTATTGTTTTAATATATTCTCATTGCCTAATCCTATAGATTTTATCATATTTTGTCATGTTTTATTATATTATGTTCTAACAAAATAGGCCAGTAAACAATTATGTATGTATATGAGTCTTTGGGCCAATTTTTGTATTTTCAATAATTTAGTTTAGATTATTTTAATTTACGAGATTCAAGATATTCTTTATATTTTATTCAATTATATTATATTCCAGATATAGTAGATTCAAGAGCTATGTACGAAATAAGAGAAAGAAATGAAAATACACAAATATACAGCATTCATTTTATATTTAACTAAACTAAGATATGCTACCTTAGTAACATTCGAAAGACTAGAAAACAAATCAATCGATTCGAATTCGAAGGTCTGTTGATTGATAGAATTAAAGTAACATTTATATTTTCATTAGTACAAGAAAAGTTTAACACATTTCATGTGTGAGTCTAAAGAGCTCCATCTTCTGGAATTTGTCAACTTGAAGGTGCTATTATTGCATTGATCGTCGATTACATACATACAATTCGATACATACTTACTATACATAATTACATACTAGCGTTTTCCTGCGTCTCCGCTCGCATAATATATTAATAACTAACATATCATATACTAAAACCTTCTTTAAAAAACGCTACATCTTATGGTATGAGTATTATTCCGATCGGTTCAGTAGTTACCGCAGTATATGTAGATATTTACAAAGATTCAAATTAATGCAATTAGAAGTAGGCCAACGTAGGCTTCCTAGGTTTACATACATATTAAGTTTTGTTTAAATATGTGATTAATACTTTCTTAGATTTACGCGAATATTTGACATTTTAAATAAAACTATCTTTTCGGATTTTGTCGCGGATTTATTTGTATTTTTGTTTCCCGACGTTTCGAATGCTTTACAGCATCCATGGTCACGGGAGACCCGTGACCATGGATGCTGTAAAGCATTCGAAACGTCGGGAAACAAAAATACAAATAAATCCGCGACAAAATCCGAAAAGATAGTTTTATCTAAATATGTGATTATTAAGAAATAACTTTTTTTAGCATGACATTTTTCTAATACATTTATTCTTATTACAAAATTCATATCAAGTAGAATATGCCATGATTGAGCAATGTTTACACAACATCTTTTATTTTTACTACGAAACAAACACAAATCTACACATATAATAAAATTCTAACTGAGTCAAATCTGTACATTAAATATTTTTTGGAAAATCTTATTGAAATAGACAATATTATCGATACAGATTCCGAATCTATAGTTTTTAGAATTTTTGTCTGTCTGTCTGTCTGTTACCGCATCACAGAAAAACTACTGGACGGATTTTGATGAAATTTGGTATGGTCATAGCTGATTATACGGGTCAACATATAGGATACTTTTTACAACTGAAAAATACCTCATTTCTGAGAAAAAATACAAAAACTGTAATGTAACAGTATACTTATATGTAAACCCTAAGAATTTAGTTTTTGGTCATCTGAACGCGGGCGGAGCCGCGGGCAATGCTAGTACAAAATAATAATCAAATTTTGATCTTCTTACCGATATCTATGCTTTTTATAAAAAGGTAAAATCAAACCAACTTCTAAGCTCTAGCTCAAAAGAAATGCGAATTTATAATTTCCTAAAACTCTGATAATTTACAATTTGGAATACAATATTATACTAAATAAACAGTAGGTAAACCTATTAAAAAATATTATTTCAGAAGCATTAAAAATTTCCACTATAAAATTCGTAGTGATTGTTCTTCTGTGACGCTAATACTAACACTGTTTTGAATGACATGTTTATTATATCGCACAAATGGTTGCCCACAGTTTATGATGCGCGCGAGAGACAATGGGCAATGCCGGTGCTGTGCATCGTAGGGTAACCATGCTTTACAATTTTCCTAGTAGCTTGAATAAAAATAATTTATCTGTATATATTTATTTGTATATATCTTGGTCGTAATAATCATAATAAACATCAAACTAGCGTATTTACTTGAAGCTAAAATTACTATTAAATTATTATTCGACCAACTTCCTAATTGGATTTTATAACAGATTATTGAACATATTTGAGGATTTGTGGTTTATCAAACTAAATATAATAGATTTGCTTACAAGATCAAATCGCGGGCTACAAAACACGTATACCTCACAGGCTACAACCTTAAACCTAGCACTGATTCTTCTCTTTGTTATATGGCAAATGTTTTAGTTAATGGTCTCATATATCAATGTACTCCAAAGTATTTCTGATGATGAACTTATAATTTTTCACAAATGGCTAGTCTGGTTTATAATGCGTGTTGACGCTGTTACTGGGGCGCTACGCTCGAGTAACTGTTAGTATGAGTAAGAAGTGTGCCGATTTCATCTTACACGTTCATTAGTACTTGACCTAATATTAGTAGCATTTAGCGTTTTTATAGCTTTGTAATTAGTTAAATGGCGATATATCAAAATAATAATACCGATACGAATCGTCATACGCATTAATGAAACATAAATACAGTTACATTACTATATATAATAGATTTTTTTTTGACTTGAGTGTAAATCATATTTACTTATTATACTTTAGTCCGATGTATTACAAAAAGCTTATTCTATCTACACGTACCTCATGTGAGTCACGAGGTTCGTTTCCGCCGCGCGCCCAGCGGAAGGCACCTACCTATAGACACTCGACACTTATTATTTTAATCCGCAAAGCCTTGTAATCGCCTGCTAATGTTATTTAATACGAATATTGATTAGGTGTACACGCGTTTTTTTGAGGACCGGATAGATAATATAGCGTTAATTTCTTTGCGTAGAAGTTTTGGTTTTTGGTTCAACTTTTATTAATTTACTAGCATTGCCCGCGGCTCCGCCCGCGTTCAGATGACAAAAAACCAAATTTTTATGTTTTACATATTAGTATACTCTTACGTTGCAGTTTTTGTATTTTTTCTCAGAAATGAGGTATTTTCCCGTGGTAAAAAGTATCCTATATATTGCCCCGGTAACCAGCTATCACCATACCAAATTTCATCAAAATCCCTCCAGTGGTTTTTCTGTGATGCGGTAACAGACAGACAGACAGGCAAAAATTCTAAAAACTATAGATTCGGCCCCTGTATTGATAATAATATTTATTATAATAAGATTTTCCAAAAAATGTTTAATGTACAAATTCGGCTTAGTTACAATTTTATTATATGTATTGATAAGAATTTGTAATTTACTACCTATTTATATAAATACTGAGTATCTCATTCTTATTATGTATAACAGTAAAAATTCGATAAACACATTGCAAGAGCCATTGATAGGTATATTCTACATATTAGTATTTGCATATACCTATGCTACTTAACGTTTAAAAGCGTTATTTCTCGCATTGTACATTCTGTACTACACAGAGGGGTTTGCAATTTGTATGAATATTGAATAGCTTCACTTGTTGTAAAACGCAGTCGATCGGAGTGTTAATTATAAAGGCTAACAATGTCTACTAACATTATAAACTGTAGAGTTTGTTTGTTACAACATACTTATCTCTGGAACGATCGGACTCTTAATTATACTTCTTTTATATGATATTGTGTTAACTGAGCAATATTAGGACAGTATCACATTTTTATAACTACCCGAGACAATCAATTGCCAATTAAAATAGTTCAATAACAGAATCAACAAAATCACTTTATTTAATTTAATTATTTAATTATTTCATTTATTTTAATTTATTATAATAAATACAGATATTTTAAATTAAAAGATGTAAAATATGATGACTATGCTTACAAATGTCTAAAATGTCATTCATTGGTTCATCGATATATGTATTTTATCGATTACGTTCAAGCACTAGAAATATTGTATTGTGTATCAGTGTTTATAATAATGTAATAAAATCTTTGTGTGCGTTATGCGTCACTTGGTTGAACTAGTTTTCATACATTTGTATTTTATGTCAGGTCCAGTCT